ATTCCTGCCCGATGACTTCTATTTACCCTGTGAAATTGGAGGTATGATGTCACCCGTGAAGAATAAGGAAAGGGAGATTTTGTACAATGCAAGAAAGGAAGGGGAAGGGCATTCATTGATCAGAGGTTTAAAAGGGAGAGAAAAATCTGGGTACCTATCAGCTATTCAGATAGGCAAAGACGGGAAGACTCATGTATCTATACACATGTCTAAAAATGAGTGCGTGTGCACACATGGAAACGCAGTACTCCACCCTCATAACTACACTGTGTGACAGGCATCATGAACCTGCTTTTATGAACGTGGAAACTGTCATCGAGTAACTGAATGGAGGTCATATAGCACCCCTGATCTAAATCCTCCCAGTGCCGACGCAAGTTCCCACGTAGTCCCAGTTGTCCTGTCACTCACTGTAACCCACACTCCTTTGTTGAACGTGTTACAAGTGCAACTAACTACACAGCTTTCTGCGAGTGTTGGTTAAACGCGTTTGTCTCACTGGATGATGAGTTCCATACACCTATTTTATAGCAGATGTCAAGTAAGTAGATGAAAGAAATACAAAGCTAATTTTTCCCAAAAAAATTGTATCACTATTTTAGAGGATATTTGATAGTATCTATCATGATCTAAAATGTGCATATCTATCAATCAGCAATATTATTTACATGGACCTATGCCACATGTAAATAATGGAGTATGCATAGCTAGTTATATTGATGTATTTGAGGCTTTGTACTTGAGCTTCCTCTGTAAGAATAAAAGCTGAATACAATCCAATTGTTTATTAATAAAATGATAATTAAATAAATCATGATTTGCCCAAAAAATAATACCTATATTTACATATATAGCATACATTTATTATATGTGTGTGTGTGTGTGTGTGCACAGAAAGGTACAAAATAAAGTTAGGAAGTTAGTGGTTACCTCTAGAACATGGGGATGAGGGAGGATAGGGAAGGCCCCTTCTCACTTGAGAAAACTAAGGCAAGACAATGGAGCCTTTCATTGTGTGTGTGTGTGTGTCTCACCAGAGAGAGAGAAAGCACTGCCCAATGGGGCATGGTCGTGCCACAATACCGTTTCCTCCATCTCTCCATCTGTTAGGATGGTGGGCTCACACACTCACACATGCACCTGACATGTTGTTTAAGCCTCTGGGGCCAGAATGCAAACAGCAGGCAGCCATGTGAGATCCAGCTCTCAGTGTGTGCAGTTAACCACTGTACCATGGGTCCAACCCTTTTATTTTATGTTTAAAAAATAAAATAAATACAAAACTTAAGTCAAATGCACCAATTAAAATGCATCAACCCATAATAAGATTAATTCTATTTGTGATAGAACCAGGAGAGCTCTCACTGGTCAGGTTCCCTCAAGTTATGAAGCTATTCACTTTGTCATTCTGGGGCCAGCAGGCAGCGCCGCAGGAGGTGCAGCAGGAGCACAGTGCCCTGCAATGCTGGACCCAGAGCAGAAATTGGAAGGTTCGCGTCCCAGGGCTAGACACATATGTGTGAGTCCATGATCTAGATTAGCTGAGGCTGCGTGTGCATCGTGATATAAAGACTCTTTGGGGGGGCTACCTGTCTCTCTCTCTTCCTCTGTCTCACAGGAAAAATAAACTTTAAAAAAATCATACTGTAAAGATACGTAGAAATGTAAGCAAGTTAGGAAGACACTCTCATGTCAAAATGTGGGCAGATTTTCTGTCATGGCTCTTATGTCGACATTGTCCTCTATGGTCCGACAGTATGATTTTCAGTACAATCTCATGAGAGCTCCAAAAGGACCTTGGAAACTTGACCCAGAATGTCTGGTATCTTGATACTGGCAAAGACTGCAACATATCTACAATAAAGGACCGGATCATTAAAAATTTATACAAGAAAACCTACTGGAGAGGAAGAATGCTATCACTAATTCTCCAAGGAAGCACCACTTGAGTATTCTACCGAAGTACATTAAGTTGCTATATAAACATCTAAGTTTCTGGAATTAGCTGATATCCTTTATTCAAAAAATCTGTCTCCCTGTAAACTGTCCTTAATATGACAGACGCCTTCAAATTTAGCTGGAACCTCACGGGTATCCCAGAGGTGTAGTTATCAAGTCTATATCAGGAAGTTACTACTCATTACCACATGAATTCTGTTGTTCTGATTTACCTTGCTGATTGGTAAGCACCTGCCGTCTTTTTCTTTCTACTCTATAATTAATAGCTTTCATACCTAAAAGTTGAGGCAAAAACTTTTATATTAATTGTACTCTCTCACAAGAACCACGTTTACTTTCAGATGTCTCATCCTACAGATGATATATTTACATTTCTTTTAAAATTATGACTATGATTTTTTGTTGTCCTTTAATTTACACAAACTGGTTTTGTTGGTGGTTGGCTGTTTGAGCTAGTGATGGGAAGTCCCTACACCGGGAAATCAGATTAGAAATGATTCATTCTATGGGACTTTAAACGGAGTCAGCCAGATAGCATTCTATGATAATACAAATATTATCTTTCTTTCACGTATGTTTTTATAATTTAGAAAAGCACTTCCATAAACTATCTCCATCTTACAGAAGAGAAAGCTAAGACCCAGAGAAGTTAAGCGAAATGAGCATTTAAGGGGCTGAACCTGAATGACACTCCTGCTTAGAATCCCTTAGAACCAGAGAATCCATGAACTCTTAACTGGAAAGCTTGTGAATTATTTGTCAATGAAATAGAGATTGTGTATACATCAACATTTCTCTGGGGAGAAGAAAAAGGATTTTTATCTGATTTTCAACAGAGTTCTAGGATAGCAAAATCTTGAAGGGCCATGAAGGAAAAACACATGGATTTTCCCATCAGACAAATTAATTTCAAAAACACGCAGTTCTAGTATTTACTAGGACTGGATACTTATCTCCTCTAAGTGTCAAGGTCACCTCTTAGAATCTTTGTGAAGATGAAATACTGTTTACAAAACGTCTAATGTTGTACTTTAAAACCCCTTATGATACCTTGATGTGGCAGAGATTACTAGCTACACGCTAGTATTTTCAGACTCATGTACAAACTGACAATATCCAGCAATAGATGAAAACAGAATTGTGGGGGGCTGGGTCATGGTACAATGATAAAACAGGACACGGTGAAACTGACCCAGAGGAGAAGGTTCCAGGCTCACCTCTAGGACCTCCCTGAGAATCCCCGGGTGTGCACATGCCCGACTTGGGTCTGGTCGAGGCTGAGATGGACGGGATATCAAGACTGTGTTGGGGAGGCTGTCTCTCTTACTCGCAGAAGAAACACAAAAACAACAAATGAAGAAACTTTTTAAAGTTTATCTCTTCCATAAGTGAGAAAGATAGAGAAGGAAAAAGACAGACAAAGACTACCCCCGATAGAGTCTTGATGCCACAATTCACCCCAACCTTAAGCCAGCCCCAGATTGCGAGCAAGAGTATGCCTGGCATACTCAGGAAGGTCTCTGAGCTTGAATGGGGACCTTCCTGTGTGGGACTGCACACCACTGCATTTGACCTCTGGGCCACCACCTGGGCACCCAAACTTCAACTCTGACCTAAAACCTGCAGCAACCTGCCCATGACACCAACCCTATATCCACAATCAACAATGCAGGGAGACAGATTTCAAGACACGAGATTGCTATCCCCAGTTACAATCTAGGAAGCTACACAATAACTTCTGTAACAATCAACCCCAAAAGGCCAAGTCTTCATTAATAACTGACAGCTTCCCTAAGTTTCTCCCTGCTTCCAAATATGATCAACAAGAGAAAATACAAAAATGCACCTGTAACCAATCCCATAGGATGCTCTGCTTCTAAGAGCCCGCCTACAGCTTCTCCACGCCAACAGCCTCTGGTCAGGCCGTAACTGAAGGTTCTGTTTTCCCCTATGACGCTCTCTCTCCTCTGCCTGCCGATAAGTCTCTGACAAAAATCAAGTGACAGTGGCTGATCTCAGAATAAACAGCCATCGCTCTTCTCACTTAGTTGGTCTTGGTTCCACATGTTCTACTCGTTTTCCTTAGGAAGGGAGACTTAGCTGCGCACACAGCCAGCTGAGTGAAGACTGGCTATTCCAGGCTTTTTTGCAGCTAGACGTGCTCATGGGACTGCTTTCTGGCCAAGGGGAGGTGGTGCAAGCATGTGGCAGGAAGCACTTGGGAAAGTGCTGCAGACCCAGCCAGCGAGTACTCTTTGTTCCTCCAAACCTGGGGTGACTTGATGAGTGGAAATAGGCTGGGTCCCTGAGATCGTGGCCACCATATTGGCCCCAGACTTTTATGTGGCAGAGAAGTAATGACAAGTGACAGCAGCTGCAGCTACCATTTATATAGCCCTGCACTGTGAGGCCCTGTTCAATGCTCTACCTAATTTAATCACCAGGGCTATGAAGCGGGTCCTAGTCAAGCTACTATTAGTCGGGGGCTTCTTGCCAACACTCACAGCTCTACTTAAACCCAATTTATATGTCCTTAGAAGGAAGGTTAAACAACTCTGATGTGGTCAAGTCAGAGGCTGATAACCAAGGTCTGACTGAAGTGCCCACTTTGTTCTTTGATAGATTCCCCCAGAAATAGGTCAGACCAGAAACTCTTGGCCTTCCTTTCCCAGGTGCTCAGAGACACAGGATCACCGATGGTCTGTTCAGAAAAATCAAAGCTACAAAATGGAAACAAACTTTAGCTCACAGAAGATAAGTCACGTGGTCTGTTTCCTAGTTAGTTTGGGACTGTCCAGATATTTAAGTGCAGGCTTTTATGTGACAAAGAAGTAATGAGCTTCACCAGGCACAGCAGCTGCAGAGTCTTACCATCCTGCCTCCTACCATTTTCTACGCACTACCACATGGGATGCACTCTGCATGAGTCTTCAGTTTGGGTTACCTACTATGTCTATGTGTTTACCAGACAACACGATCAGAAAAAGATAAAACTTAAAGACAACTAAAAAAGGAAACTTACCTTTATCATTCTGGATAGATCACCAGCATCTGCTAATTCCAAAACTATATTTAGTTCATTGTCTTCAATAAATGATGCATAATATTTAATTACATTTGGATGGTTGAGTTGCTGAGGAAAAAAAAAAAAAAACAACAAAAGTTTTCCTATTGTAAATTCTCAGGAGCCCCTTACAGTTCAGTCACCTACAAGTAAATTCAGATACTGTATTTCATTTATAAAGTATAGAAATTGTAATGTGACCATATATTTTTCTACCACGTAATGAATTTTGAAACAAATCCTATAATTATTGAAAGCAAAAGTGGTATCAATTTTGTTTTAATATTCCTTATCAGAAATAATAAATTATGCACTTAAAACTTTCCAAAGTACTACTATACTGAATATATCCAATAAGTATATAAATAAATACAACAAGGAATAATGGAATTAAATCAGTAATTGCTGAAAACTATCATTTAATGGGACGAACAGGTGTCCTAGTAACTAAGGTGCTGAACTCTCAAACTGCTGTTTGAGCGTGTGTGTGTCTATGCCCAAAATCCCAAGAGGAGACAAAGGACTGGAGCATGGCTGTGCCCCGGGGGCATGGTGGTTTTTCACTTTCCCTTTCTCTGTGTCTCTCTGTCTCTCTCCAGCAAGCACACATGCCATACAGCAAAAATGCAAAATAAAAAAACAAACAAAAAGACCGATGCTTTAAAATGAGAACTTTCATGTAAGAACACTCAATGAAAACAAACTATGTCTTTTTACTACTACTTTGAAGTGAGGATTGGTCCTAGATAACTCTAGCCAGTAAAAAAACCCACCATTGCCACTAGTATCTACTGTATTATATCTAAGTATTGCTTTTATATCAAGTAATATAAAACAGATTATAACAGACCCTACCTAAAAAAGTTTCATTTTGTAAAAATACATGCATCAGAGGGCTGGTAGGTGGCATGGCAGTTAAGGGACTGGACTCTCACATGACCAATCATGGTTTGCTTCCTGGACTGGGTGGCTTGCTTATTCACTTTCCTTTTCTCTTTCTCTCTGGTGAGTACATGCGTTCTATAGCAAATGAATAATAATAATGATAAATAAAAGTAAATAATTTATGAATGTGTGTGTGTGTGTATACATATGTCTATCCACATAATCTTTTTCAATCTTTTTTTTAAGAGGTTTTTGCTATAGGGCACGTGTGCACGCCAGAAAGACAGAGAGAGACAGAGAGACAGAAAGCGAGAAATCACGCGTCAGGGGGGATGGCCATGCTGCAGTCCCTTCTCTCGGGATCTTGGGCACGCACGCACACGCACCCCGTGGGAGTTTAAGCCACCGAGTCTGGGACTCGAACCACGGTCAACTACATGGGACTTCAGTGACATAGCCATTAGGCTAACTGCTGGTCCCATCTTTTTCAATCTTTAAATAAGTTAACAAAGACAAAGTTTTCCCGAGAAAATTATTCAAGAATTAGGAGTGCTTTTCTTCTACTCTTTCTACTTACAGTTTTCCTCCCATAATTTCTATGATGATGTTATTTCCATAATAAAAATCTGCATATATTTAAACCGCCTATTTCCCACTTAATCTAGCTAACAGAACAAAGAATATAACACGAGCCAGCATTTCTCACACGAAAAGCTCACTAGGAAAGAAACAGTGCAGAAAAAAACAAAACCTTACCATATCTGCTTACATGGATAAAAACTAAAAGGCTGACTCCTGACATACTCTTTTTATTTTTTTTAAGAGAGAGATTTTTTTTTTTTTTTTTGCTATAATGCATCTGGACTCACCAGAGTGCTCGAGAGCATATGCACTCACCAGAGAGACAGAGACAGAAAGCAAGAAATAACCCCCCGAGGGGGATGGCCACGCTGCCATCCCTTCCCCTCCATTCTCTTCTTGGAATTTTAGACATGCATGCACACAAACCCAGCGAGAGTTTTAAGCAGTCAGGTTTGGGACTCGAACCACATGGGAGTCCAGTGATACAACCATTACACCATCTGCTGGTCCCCTCCTCACCTACCCTTTCTAAACCTGGAGAAAAGATTGTCCACATTCTCAATTTAACATGTCTTGAGATAATACAATATACTTTAACTATTTAGCTTTTAGAATATGTCTACTTGCGACAGTCAAGAAAAAATTTCTTCACTGTTTTAAGCTCATTTTATTTCTTCTAGTTGAAATGCGGGTGGGGGGATGAAGCCAATCCTACCAACAAATTCTGATTAAATTACCCTGCAATAAATCCAAAAGGCAACCAAGTTTTTAACATACTGAGATTCTAACTTACATAGTATTACTTGAAATCAGTGTGGTAGAAGTTAAATCTTAAAATATTTTTACTTAAAAATACATTTTAATAAATGACTTTAATCAACATGCTTGATTATGTTCAAAATAGTCAATATTTCATTATTTACCTTAAGGAGATCTATTTCTTTGATGCAATCAGCACGTGCTTTGGCATCCATTAAGTCAAATATCTAAAAAAAGAAACAAGAATTATTTAATAAAATGACCTACAGTTTGAGCTACCATGTAAATGCATTATACTACTCTACTCACAATTATATTTACACTGAGAAATTTTATATCAGCAGGTATTTTAATCCCATGTTACCACTAAAGCTTATTTTTCTCCCTCCAAAGGCAGCCAGTATTAAAAATGGAAAAAGAGAACAGCTGACATTCAGATCTTAAGTTTGAATGAATGGAATGAAAGTGATGATCATTAACAACATAAAATAATATATATTGAACAATGAATATATGCTAAATGCATTGCATGAACTTCCCTGTCTAATTCTCATTTAATCTTTACAATAATAACAACACTGGTATTTCCATTTTATAATGAAGAATGGAAGTATAGAAGCTTAAAAAACTGAAAAAAGGCCACAGCGTTCAACAGAGCAACCAGAATTCATTCTCAGAGTTATCCAACTAGAACTCAAGCTCCGAATCATTACTTTGTTCGATCAAATTCTGTCTGAAAGGTCTACTGCAAGCATTCTTGACAGGGCTGATGTCACTCCAAAGGAATGAAAATGTATTCTTTGAGGAGCGGGGTAAAACAAGTTTACTCTTTTTAAGTATAAAGCACATATACCACATAGTACATAAACAGATATACTGCATCTGTGGGATGAACATTTTATGGTGGGGAAATAATCAGGAAAAAAAAATTCCCCACAGGGGATGATAACGAAAGCTGAGAAATACTGGTCTAATGTGAAAACATAAAAGTAAATAATACAATCAGAAGGCTATTTCATGTATCACTGAAAACAAGAAATCTTTCAAGGATTTAAGTGTATGGAAAAACGAGCAATAAACAAATGAGTAACATCTTAGTGCAGCAAATATCAGAGAAGGTCAATACTATCAGCTGATTAAAACCCTAGAAATGTCAAAATATTTTTTTGAATTTACTATATTTAGTAATCAACTTGATCAAGTCTTCCTGATGCAGACAGTCAACAGGTTCCAGAAAAAAGTGTGTCATGTGAAATAAGGGGTAGAACTAGAGTCATTTTAATGAAGGAAGAATTTATCGAACACCAACAAAAAGTGCTGGCCTTTACCTACACCAGACTTCAAAACATGCATGGAAAAATTGAATTAAAAATGAAATCGTTGTGGTGCAAAATACTGGAAACCAATGCGTAGCTTTTTCATAGTATGCACTTTCCACGTCTTGCTTCAATCTTCACCTCAATCTTACAAGACCCGCGGTGCTGGCTCCAATTTAGAGATGAAGACTGGGGACAACAGAGCAGAAATAAAATGCCTCTGGTCATAAAACCAGGAAGTGACAGAAGCAGGACTTCAAGTTAAGCTGTTCTAACGCTGCAGGCTGTGTTTTCTCCACCAGTCTGGGCAGCTGTGAAATCCAACAGGTACACAACCAACTAATGAGTGTTGAAGCCTTGTATGTTTGAAAGGTGGTGTCACCAATCTAAGGACAGAGCTCCTAAGGGAGGGGGCAATGTTAGTGCTGAACCTAGAAAGAATTAAAGGATACTGCCAGTCAGAAATAACTGATACCTATGGGGCCGGCAAGTGGTAAAAGGCGCTGGACTCCCACATGGCCAAGTCTCGGACCTGGTGGCTTGCTTTCTCACTTCCTCTCTCTCTCTCTGTGTCTCTCTAATCAAACTGGAAAATAATAATGATAATAATAATAAATAAAGTTAAATAAAATAATTCTTTTTTTAAAAAAAAGAAAGAACTGATACCTAGTGCCAAAGTAAATATACAATAAGTGTAAAATAGTTTATAAAAAGAAAAAAAAAGAAAGATCTGATACCTAGTGCCTAAGTAAAAATACAATAAGTGTAAAATAGTTTATAAAAAGAAACTTGTGCTGAATATCTTTTTTTATTTAATTTATTAAAAAGTGCTCACTAGAGAGCGGGGGAGGATGGTCACATCACAATCTCTTTTCCTCCATCCTTCCCCTTTCAGGATTTTTAGCACACACGCACACGCACCCAGTATATTTTTCAAGCTGCTATGTCCAGCACTTGAACTGCAGTTGGGTAGCCATGTGGGATCCAGCCACCTTAACCAGCATGCCACCAGCTGGCCTGCTGAGTATCATTCTTAATACCCAAAGATGCATATGGCTGTAATTTTCTTTAATTAAAAAATATTTGAAAGTAGCTGATGGCATAATGGTTACTTCACTGGACTCCCATGTAATTGACCGTGGTTCAAGTCCTGGACTTGGAAGCTTAAAACTAACACTGGGCACATGTGCATGTGTGCCCAAAATCCCTAGAGGAGAATGGAGGAAAGGGAATTTTGGCAAGGCCATCCCCAGTGGGGGGAGCGGGGGAGAGATTTCTTCCTTTCTGTCTCTCTGGCCAGCTCACATACCCTATAGTAAAAAATCTCTCTTAAAAAACAATTAACATGAAGATATTGAATAAAAATTTAAAATATAAACTACCACTACTAAAGCACAGACAGTATAACACTACTTCTTGGGTTGCCATTAAAGTCATGATGCGTTTTCACATAGAAAAACATTAAAATAAAAGTCATGACTTTTCCAACAGCCCAGTATTACAGAAAGGGAAAAATCTTACATATAAAAGGTCTCTTCTAGAGCATCACTATTACTCTACAAATAGACGATTACTATGAGTAACCTGACTCTGGGTCCAAGTAAACTTAAATTATTCCTGCCCATGCTTTCTAGCATTTACAGGATCACTCTGAACGCCATCTTATTACTGGACTTTATCACAGATAGAAATTAGAAAACAAGCTTGCAAACCTTAAACTGGCACATTGCTAGGTGCACAGAAAATGAGCAGCCAGCGCAGGAAGTGCTGCTTGTACAAAGTGAGGGGAGAACCTCAGCGGGGCGGAGAATGGCTTGCAGGGCTCTTCACTCTTGATGTACACAAACAGAAAAGTGTAATGCCCTCCAGAAAGATTTTTACTTAAAAAAGTAAAATTAAATGTTCCTTACTCAAAGGGGTAAGTAAGCATTTAGCAATGCCACACAGAAAAGCCATTCACTCCCTTAAACTTGGAAAAAAAAAAAAACCAGTACTATAAACAGTAATAACAAACCCTACCATAAACAGAAAAGTTTGAGCTTGATGTTAGTTACAGTTATAAAGTACACTGGTGACTTGCACTTAACCATCAGAATGGCAATAGAAATGACTGGTTCTTGCCAAATCATGAAAGCTAATGCCATTCTCAGGAACTTCTGCTGATTATAAGAAACTTGAGATAGCCCAAAGACATGCTAGAGAGTACAACATTTGGGCTAGCAGGTAGCATGGTGGTTAAGGTGCTCGAACCATATGGCTGACTCCACAGTTCGAGTCCTAGATCCAGCATCTGTATGCGTATGTGCCCAAAATCCCAAGAGGGGAATGGAGGAAAAGGGACTGTGATGTGGCAATCCCCTGGTGGGAAAAAAAAAAAAGAAAAAATAATGAATGAACATTTTTTTAAGGAGACAGATAAAGGATAACGTTGGTACTAGTGATTAAAAAGAAGAAAATCTCCCCTCTGGAAAAAGAAATGTAAAACACCGTAAAGTTATACGCGGTTCAATGTAATATAAACAAGATTATGATAATAAATAAATTTTTTAAAAAATCTCAAACTTGGAGACACATGGATTCTAAACTCCAGTAATCAATGTCTCTGTGGTGGAAAAAAATATTATTAAAAAGAATAAAAAGAGTGGAAAGAGGAGAGTAAGATGTATCTGAGAGTTTTTTAGAAAGCCTAATTAAATGCAAAATACCAAGATAGAAACATGCTACATAGAAATCACAAATCTTTCGTTGAACTTACAATGAAACTAATTTAGAATTACAAATTAATTAGCTTTTATTTTTAATGGAATCTTTTAAGTAATATCCAAAATCATTAATCAAGCACTAGGAAAAATAAGCATTGTTGATATATTTAAGGCAAAACGAAATTTTGAACCAAACACATTTACAAATACATTTAACTGGAAATTTAGAAGTATCTTATCTTTCTTTTTCTCTTAGCCAACAAGTCAAGACAAATACACATATTAAATTTTTAGATAAAGTCATTCCCAGACACAGAGTCAAAGCTGTCTTAGGATTATATGAGTTAGAAAAGGCAATATATTTGGGGGGAAAAAAATCTAGATTTTTATAAAAACTAGTTTATACAAAATATGAGAATCTTCAGGAGACATCATTTATAGCTCCACTTAAATTTCTGTGGGATTTTAAACTTATTTAAGTGTTTGGTAAAAACAAGTTATTTGCTGTGGGTAGACAAGCACAGGCTGATAAATTTTGGGTAGTCCATGAATCATTTTAAAAGTTTTCTTCTGTCATCTTCTAATTTTGTCACAATTACTCACAACTAATAAAACTAAAAGGTTAAGAATAGATATCTTTAAAAGGAAAAGAGTTCGTTAGAGAAATATCCTTAAAAAGGCATATGCCAAATTGTTAGAAAATACTTAAAAATGTAGCAAAGAAAATGCTTAAAAATATTTGCAAAGAGAGTTTGACAAACCTGGTATAACTCATTTTAAATAAACCTTACAAAAATGGAAATCCTAACCAAATACCTCTTCAGCTTCACCAGTTTATTATAAAGCCTAAATAAATGAGCAACTGGTCCCTAAACTGAGCAGCTCAGCAACCCATGTGACAGGTCTTCCACCTTATCCTTATCTCTTCCCAAAATCTGCCTCTGTTATGCCCCCTGTTCTTGCCTCTTAACTCTGGTGCTAAAATGATGCTTTCACACCTCTATTCAAACTACCCAATGGCTGCAGAGACTCTCCGCAACTTCTGTTGGGAAGGAGAGAAGGAAGGGGAAGGTTTTAACTTCTTCCTCCTCAGTATTTTTGCTATTGGCCTACAAATTTCTCGCTCCCTTCCTAGCTAATTGGCAAAGACTCTCCTTTCCAGAGTCTAGCTTTTCCATGTGAAGAAACAGAAGATGAGTGAGGGTGTTA